ATTAATCTAATTTGAACCAAATATTACTTACTTTTAGTTTTAAAATATTGCAGAAGATCATTTTGGGTGTTAAACATTGTTAAGGAGTGAAAGGAGTTAAAATAATAGTAGCGTCAAAGGAAAAACTGTCTTTTTGATACTCCCTTTCTTTTGCAAGAATGAAGGTCCAAGATTGCCAAACATATTTTTAAGATTTATATGTATGTATATCAATAATGATTGTCAAAAGAAGATGCAATCAGGAGTTAATACACACTTAGTTAGGCATGAGAAAAGGTTTCATTTTCTAAGAAGGTTATAAACTCACCATGTCTTGTGCTGAACTTGCAATTTGACGGGCCAAGCGAACCATATTGGTCTGGAAATCGACAAATGAAGCACCCTCTGAGACTTCAACACTTAAGTCAGTCTGGAGAAAAAGAAAATAAAGAAATTATCATCAGTTTCATAATTAAACTGTTTAAGAAAAATACAAAATTATTAAACATTTAAATCACATGTGAATATTAACAATTTTGTTCCCGACCACTTTCAGTTAATTAGAAATAAATAAATGAAAACTTGTGTAAGCTTATTAACTTTCTATCCCCACTCCCACTATGTGCGATTAACAACTTTTTTTTTCATATCCCAATAGAATGATTCTACTGAAATCTTAACTATTAACTCTAGGATTAACCATTATCTTCACCACATCTCTGCATAAACAGTGAAAGGAAAAGAGAAAAGGTAACATTGCTTTAAGATGAAGAAAAAATTTAAAAAACAATTATGAATACCTCTGACATAGATTTTGTGATGCTGTCTATCATATTGCTAACAACACCTGCTTGTGATGCAGCTTCCTCAATCATTTGGAGCAGATCTTGCAAAACGTCTTTCATGCCGGCAGCAGTTTCCTCAATCTGGACATGGGCTTTTTCTGCCTGCAGATAAGAAATCAAAGAAAAGTATGAACAATGTATCAATTGATGATTTCAAAGACTAACAATGACCACAAAATACCCTGAAGAATTCCTGGAAAAAATTATTAGCATTTTTTTTTTTCAATGTTTTGTTGAATTTGTGATAATGTCATGTAATGTTTCTATCATTCATTTGACATAAAAATGAGTCGTGAAACTTTTATGGAATCATACAGAGACGGTTAATTTTCATCACAAGAACAATGTTAACCCTTTAGCATTCAACACATTCAAACCCGCCTGATAAATATCAGCTCTCAATGTTCAACCTGTTCCATGTATACTCTGCCATAATATATGACAACATCATTGCAAATAATGCAGACTGCAAACAGTGAGACTTCAAGAGCCAATATTTATGGGTCAGATTTGAGCTTGTTGAATGCTACAGGGTTAAGTATATAAAAAAAAAAGCAAGCAAAACTTTCCAAAGACGATTAATATTTAGTTCTTTTGTTTGTTCATCTTTTTTATGTTTTATCCCAATGCTATCACTGTCAGAGAAAAGAGCATGAGTAGGAAATAAAGTAAGTAACCTCTCATGAGATTTGATTCCTATATCCTTGAAATTTGACAGTAGCATCACCTATTTGGCCAGAAAGGTTATAAGATTTTGCCCTACATATGTCAAAATCTTATAACTTTATTCTTCTGCCTATTCACTTTGTATTGTATTTTCTAATTGTGAATCTTTAGATTCTCTAAATGCCTTAAATGAAGAGTTCAACTTGATTTAATAAAGTATTTTTTTTTACATTCAATTTCCACACAAGAAATTAATAATATATATTCTTTTGATAAGCTCAGTGAATTTCAAATCACAAATCTCAATGTTATCAAAAGCTTTCTTTATGCATTTGGTGCAATAATTCTCTGTACTTTTTACCTCAAATTGGAAAACATTATTTTTACTTATAATATTCTTTTAAGTTTCAGTTGCTTTTTATTGCAACTATTTGTTTTAATCATTTCACACAAAGCAAGGTGATAAAGCCACTAAGATACAAAGGGAGTAAAAGAATCTGAGAAAAAAAGACTATTAAGGAGAGAGGCTAATAGAAGAACTGAAATTACAGGGAGAGAAGAAAACAATTGATGTTGCATTTTTTAAGATCAGTGTTCCACAAGTGATAAATGGAAAAATTTCACTGGGACCGTCAGTCTACAGCACTAATCAGAAATAAAAAGACCCTGGGGAGATTCAATGTTGCTTGCTTGTTGCCATAGGTTGAGTAAGTTGTGATAAAAAGTAAATGAAAGGAAATTAGTCAGTAATAATAGTGTTAATTGTTAGTAATCCTTTATCTAAAAATAAAAATCATCAAATGAAGTTTTTAAGATTGTTAGAAGAAAATGGTTCATTTTCTGCAACTTACAGCAGGATTTCCTCCTCCATCTTTAATTGCAAAGATAAATTGCAAAGCTGATTCAACAACAGTCTTGGTAAAGTCCAGTGTGGACATTCTTCGTTTGGAGTTCATCAACTTTGAGGCAGCACCAATAGCCCCATCTGCCAGAGGGCCAATATAGTTTGTCATTGCAGTCACCTGAGAAGAGAAAAAAAAAAAAGAAAATCAGACAAATACTTCAAAAAGTAAATAAAAATATCTGATATCTTTTTTCTTAAAATGTTATGTTCCTTCAGGGCATAGGCAATTACAATTCTCAACAGCTTCTTTTTCTTTATTATCTGTGAATTACAATGCATTCTTGGGAAAGATAGTAGAATATCTTCCCTCAGTTGCTTTAAGCAACATTATTCAAAAAAGAATGGATATCCAAATAATAGAAGGGTGAGTCAAAAAGTAATTCCATTTGTTTTATTATATGAGAAATAAGGAACACAATCAAACATATCGTACATCATTACTGCTATACATCATAGGTTCTCATCCATATTTCTCAACATAGTCATCAGTTCTTTCCATGGCAGTGTTCCATCTCTGAATGAGGGTATTTATCCCAGCTTTATAAAACTCAGCTGGCTTCTGATGTAGCCAATTCCTTACAGCAGTTTTCACTCTTTCATTAATGCTTAGCAATTTTGGACTTATTCAGTACCCAACTTAGCATTCTCAGACATCTATCTCTTTGGTTTAATGAAAGACGTTCGGAGGGGAAAATGGTATGATGGTGATGAAGATATGTAAACACTTGGCTAGATCAGCAGCCAGTGTTTATTAGTCATATGTATGATGTCTGAATTACATAGAGAGAAGTAAAATAGAAATTTGGTCATTAAAAGGTTGAGTGCCAATTGAAATTCAAACCAATGAAATCTTGTGTGAATTTAATGCACTTGCAAAATAAGATATGAAAAAGAACTCTTTCCTTTTGCATCATGACACCACAAGGCTGCACTGCAATCAAGAAATGGTAAGAAACCGAAAATTTGCAGCCATTGCTCATTTTTTGCATAGCTCCAGTTTGGCACCATCAATCATTTGGTTATTCCAAAAATTGAAAGAGGCACTGAAAAGTCTACATCTTTCATCCGATGCTGAAATTGCTGTGTGAAAGTGGATCAAAGTCAACCAGAAAATTTCTTCTTAGACAAAGATAAAGTGAATAGAATGTTTAAAAAAAGAAAAAAAGAAAAAAAATCTCGTACTAAATGGTAACTAATTTGAAAAATAAATCTTGAATATTATTTTTAGTGGGTACACTTGTTTAAGTAGTTGCCCTGTTTATTTATTTTTTTTTTATTTTAAGTGTGAATTACATCTACAGGCTTGCAAATTCAAGAGACAATGAAAAAAAAAAAAAAAAAAAAAAACAGGGTATCTACTCAAAATGTTAGAATAATAAGAAAAAATGTCAGATTAAAAATTAAAAATCCATGAATTCCCGAGAAATTACTTGAAATATAAAAGAGAAATAAATTTACATAATTTTAATGCTAGTTTCATTATTGGATCTGATTTCAACTTGTGTTATTTGAATTAGACACATTGCTTATTAACCAACCCTTGTAATTTTGAAGGGAAATAATTTTGATCAATTATTATTCCATCTGGTCTAAAACTTGGTTTTATATGATTAGAGACATCAATCTGTCCTTGTATTAAACGATACATATTAGAATGCAATCTGATTGATAGATTAGACTTACCAAATGTCCAATATTTGTTGCTTCTGATTTGCCAGCATTTTTCAAATTGTCAACATTCTCAATGATAGGGTGGAGGCAGTGGATCATCTGCTCCTGGAAGCCTTGCAGTGACTTTTCATTGCGATCATCCATTTTTTGACTGATAGCAGACAGATAGGCCTGGTCTAGTTCTCTGATAAACTTGTAGATTTGTTCGATTGCTTCATCACACTCCTTCTGACCAGGAGCACTGTCTCTGCAAAATTAAAAAAAAAAAATGCATTAAGAGAAAGAAAGAAAAAAAAAAAATTGAAGTAACTGATACTATGAGGATCTACAACAATTGAGTCTTCAAATGTTGTTTGACCATATGAGTCAATGAGATATGAGAGATAGAACAAGAAAGAGGGGATGGGGGGAGGCGAAGGGGGGGAGAGAGAGAATGGAAAGGGGGAGAGATAGAGAAAGGAAGGGGAGAGAAAAAGGGGAGAGAGAGAGAATGGGGGGGAGAGAATGATAAGGGGGGAGATAGAATGGAAAGGGGGGAGAGAGAGAAGGGGAAGGGGGAGAGAGAGGGAAGGAGGGAGAGAGAGAAGGGGGGGGGAGGAGAGAGAAGAGAGAGGAAGGGGGGAGAGAGAGAGAAGGGAAGGGGAGAGAGAGAGAAGGGAAGGGGGAGAGAGAAGGGAAGGGGGAGAGAGAGAGAGGGAAGGGGGGAGAGAGAGAAGGGAAGGGGGGAGAGAGAGAAGGGAAGGGGGGAGAGAGAGAGAAGGGAAGGGGGAGAGAGAGAAGGGAAAGGGGGGAGAGAGAGAGAAGGGAAAGGGGAAAGAGAGAGAAGGGAAAGGAGGGAGAGAGAGAGAAGGGAAAGGAGGGAGAGAGAGAGAAGGGAAAGGGGGAGAGAAAGGAGAGAAGTAAAGAGAAAGAGAAATCAATTGAGGATCAATAGACTTTTTAGAGCAGTTCTATAAAATATAAAAATGTAAAAGGTGCAATGATTGCAGAAAATTTTCTACAGAGTTAAAAGGATTAATTAAATACAAAAAGTCAAACTTACACAAAGCTAAATTTTTTGTATGTGATCAGTCACTGAATTTATTCTGATGAAGACAAAAAAAAAATTTACTATTTTGAAAACTACCCTCGGGCCACATTGGGTAGTCACATGTGGCCTGCAAGCTATATTTTATGCAGTCTCATTTTAGAGTAACAAAGCAAATCATTTTTAAGAATCTAAAAGCCAACAATGTCAACTTTAATTCACTTGTGCATTTGAAAGTGTTTGATAAAGTTTGAACAAAGCCGAGAATCAACCGAGGAGAAAAAAAAAAAAAAAAAAAAAAAAAAAAAAATCACAAATTTGCAGTCAAAATAGCTTTTTTAATAGACTTCTCAAACAACACCAATCATATTTTTTCATTAGAGAAGTAAAAACAATGAATAGATGAAGTTAATTTATTTTTAATAATTATGATACAGTTTTTATTTTTAATAAGCAGTTCTTTCAGTTATTATCAGTGTTAGATTTTTCTTGAAGGAAACAGAATATGAGATCAACAGTAAAAGAAATTTTTTGAAGTCCTGTCTGAACAATCTGGAAGGAATCACTATATTTTTAAACAGTTATAATTCAATCAGTATTGGCTATTGATTGAATTCAATAGAAAAGGAAAATGTTATTTCAAAATGTTCTCCATTTTGCTTACTTGATAGAGGATACCAGTTTCTTCATGGCATCTGAAACACTCTTGGAATGATTTGAATAAAGCTGGTAGGTGGTAGGGTCTTTTGGATTAACAGCCAACTGCTTGGCCGCTTGTAACATATGACAAGCTCCGTCAATCATGGCAACACCTGCTGATGTAATGGGTTCTTGGGCTTTCTGGGCCTATGAAACAAAGATCAAAATAAGATGTGAAGTGAGGTGATATATCACTGTGACATATATGAGTACATTCTCTTCATCAATTCCTCATTAAAATCTGGTACTTAATTGCCTTCTAAGAACTTCTGTAAGAAGCAATTTTCATGCAACAGGAAAAGTAAAAAGACAATAAGAATTAATTAATCATATCTCAAATATATAAACTAATGATATTTGACAAATGTTTTTTTTTTTTCTTTTTACCTCGGGACTGATCTTTGCAGGCACAGTAGCAAAGTCTGGAGAAGATGCAAAACAAGTTAATTCATCGACTGCCTTAATAAGAGGCATGGCTGCCTCAGCACACTTCTGACGATTCTCTTCAGTGAAGTTGCTATCCAGGTTCTGAAAAATATAAACATTTATTGTTAGTCATTTCTTAGAAAAAAGAAAAAGAAAAGAAAAACAAGATAGCTACTAGTTATGTTCAAAAAGTAAAGTACAAACATTTACTGATTCAATGATTGTCATTATACAATTGCCATATATACTTGAATATTAAGCAAGTTTTTATGATCATTTTTTTTACACAAAAATATATATATATTTTTTTTCTTTTTTGAAGAGGTTAAAAATGCATTTTCAGTGACACACAGGTAAATTTTTCCAGAGAGTTTAAAATTCATGCAAACGAATTCAGGGGTCACACTATACATGAAGTCATCTTATACATAAGTATATATGGTATTTTTATAGTGACATTCTGAATATGTTATAAGCACTACTCTACTACTTTTCCATTTAGTCACCAATGAGATGGGTGTATTTTTCCTATTGATGCACAAGCAAAAAATGACACTTCTCAAAGAATGTGCAATCGGAGCAACCCTTGCCTCTCTGAGTGGTGCAAATTGAAATCCTGGATATGTGTTGTACGCTGTAAAATATCCCATCCATATCATAACTGCTCTATTTTAAATGTATTGTCTTGAACCTTTTTTGGCTTTCTATCAGCATGGTTGATGCTAATCACCAGGACTCATGGCACCTTTTTGGGTTAATGCTTTTCTGATGACATGAAGAGGAAAGATTATATTGAATAAATTGCTAGGTTAGCTGCCAGGAAATTTGGTTCACCGTATTGTGCTAGACAATTTTTCTCAGCTTTGGTCACTTTTCCACTGTCTACCACGACTTCATGAATTTAAGTGCAATACTAGATTGGCAGCTAGGTCTCATTATTTTACAGTTGAAAATGCTAGATATATAACTAAGTTCTCTCACACTTCTCACTAGTGGAAATCTCTTCTGGCCTCTTGTTTTCCAGTCAAGTTTGATCTTCAAAAATTTAAATGCAATATCAATTGTTATCTTCAGTCTTTTTAATTTCTGTTCTTTTATTGTTCTCTTGCCTTAATGCATTGTTTATCTTTTATTCTTTCACACTTAGTGATGTAATGAATATGCATACACCTGGGTTCCCTGTCAAAATAATATGATTGGCTGGTGTCAGCCATAAATACAGACTAATGTGGAGGTACAGGAGGATGCCTATTGGCTATGCCTATAGTCTTTGCCTATTGCCTACGCCAAGCACCAGTCCATTACGGTTACCTGCTAGATTGTCCTACCCGGTTACAGTAGTCCAAAACCACTTTGCTACTTCAAACAAATATATCCCTTTCCGGGACATATCACTTAGTAACTCCTTGCGTGAATTTATTGCTTTGCTTGGGGTGAAATGAGTAAGAAAGAAAAAGAAAAATCTGCAGAATCACTCTTCTGTCAGGTTGACAATGTGTAGATGGCATACTCCTGTACTAGGATGACACCATTTTACAAATCTGGCCTCTTTCATTCAACAGCCGTCTAGTGCTTTCTTCTTGCCATGTCTCTTCAGGATGTGGGCCATTATGGATCTCCACAATTTCCTATCCTTTGTAGCTCTTAGCAGTATTTGTTTTGTTGCTAACTCTCCTAATCCCTGTTCTACCAACCAGGTTATTCTCGACTTTCCTCTTGCATTGAACATGTCCTGTGAGTGTTAAATTTTCCAAGCCCTTTTTCCTCATTATGTGTCCTAGACATTTCATTTGTCTCTTTCTGATTCTACTGTTCCAAAAACAAACATGCTCATGTACTGGAACTTATATCCTTCGGTCAATTAATTTGGGACCTAAAGTTGGATTTTCACTCTTGAAATGCAAAAATCTCATTCCATCTTGCACTTCTATGTTTGTGTTTTATGGTGGCAGCCATCTTTGTTGTGATTCCACATACACATGTACTCAACACTAAGGCTATTCTGTCTGTTACAATATGACATATCCATTGTTACTTTGTATTTACAACTTGCACAATTCTATTTGATTTATGACAATCTGATACATCTTATGTTTTGGAGAACTCTCGTATTTCTGGTTGTGTGCATCTTCAAACAGGAATTAAACCTGTCCTATAAAATCCTGTCATGTAAAGTAAGTTGCTATCTTTTAGAAACAAAAGCTTTAGTTACTTATTTTTGTAAATAATTTCATATAAAAAATATTTTTTTTTTATGAAATTTCTGTCTTTAATCTGCTAGATCTTAAACATGAATTTAAAAAGTATAATAAACTAGAATCAAACTTCAATAAAAAAAAAAAAAAAATTTTTAAATTTGAATAACTAATGTTAATTTAATTCAGTTTTGCACATTTTCTTTTTAAGTGGTAATCAATTTTTTTTTTTTGAACAACTTATTTATTTTTTAATCAGTATCACCCCAAGCAAGGCAGTAAAGCCACCAAGACACAAGCACAAGAGATTACAGGTGTGGAAGAATTAGGAACAGAAATATTAATAATGAGTGGGAAGAGAGTAATCAGGAGGACAGTATATAGTGATTAACATTGCATTTAAATTCTTGCAGATTAAAGCTGGCTGGAAAGCATGGAGCCAGAACGGAGCTCCACAAGCGAAAAAAGAAACTATTAGCATAGTTTACTTACAGCCACCTCTAGCCAGCTATGAATTGCTAAGATCTTGATGCCAGTCTAATACCATGCTTAAATTCAAAAGGTCTAGGTACCATAGTGAAGAGATCATCTGAATAATTACCATTATTATTCCTAATATTTCAAAAGTGATATTAAATTGAGTCAGACAAATTTATTTCTTATGTCTATTTTTGATGAAGTAAACAGTTTGAAGTTTGTAAAATGTGCCAATAAATTTGCAGTGAAACAATTGATAGAATTTTCATTCTTTTATTTTTTATTTTTAAATGACTGAAAGCAAGCCAATAGTATTTAAAAATATAATAAAGCCCCTGTTTAGTTTTGTAGATATACAGTTCGTTTATAAGAGCCTGAAGATGTAGGGACTTGAATATAAGCTTTATCCTGTAAGTGGATATACCAGGGACTGTTTTACAATAGTTATATACTCATGATACGATGTGATATTACAATAAGAGTGGTGGACATATGGTTGCTGCTTTCAAATTTATAACTTAATTCTGAAGTGGCCTGAGAGAAAAAAAAAGAAGATTCCTTAGTAATAGGAGAGGGGGGGAAAAAAAAAAAAAAAAAAACTGTTTGCATCCCTGGATTCTTTTGGAATGAATAAGAATTTTACTCACTTTAATTGCAGTGACCAAACTTGCAGTACTGTTGGCCACCTCCTTAGCCGATTGGACAAAGTGTCGCCTGGCCACTGGGTTTGAAGTCTTGGAGGAAGCCAGACGACAGGCATTGCAAAGAGCCGACGTGTGCCTAGCAACTGCTGTAGCAGCAGACAATACCTGAAAAAGAGAGAGAAAAAGAAGCCTGAGGAAAAAGTTCTTGACTTGGGGGGGGGTAAGAGAGACTGAAATCAGCTTCTGTTATCGGTCATTCAAGAGAAGAATTCTTATTAACATGAAATTAAAACTGGTTAAGTTCCTGTTTATTTGCACATATCTGAAGGTACCAATAAACAACATGAAAAACAATAAAGATATATATATATATATATATATATATATATATATATATGATATGAATTATGATATTTTCCACAATAAAATAATGATTTAGGCAGATTTTAGAATAGGAAAGTCTTAAGCAATCAAAAAAAGTA